ACGGATGCTGCTCGATTGAACGTTGGCCTGCGCACGCGGCTTGGCGTGCTGCCCGGACATGACAGCGGTCTGACCAGTTCCACTTGCCGCCCACTCAGAAAATCGAAATCTACCAGGTCATTGACTTCAAATGTCTTCAGATTCGGAAGCCTTCTCTGTAGACACAAAGGAGAGGAGGAAAAGCAGGAGAGAGAGCACATGAGATTCAAAGTCAAGGTAGCAACCTTATCTTGCTCACTCATTGCTCATCTAGCAAACTTAAAATGAGTTTCTTCGAACCGCGACATGCATCGAGTACTAGCACTCGTATCTGGCTTGAGTGCATGCGTAAGCTGCAGCAAGGGGAATCGGGTTGGGGAGAGTGCAGCACATTATACATGCGTGTGAAGAAGAATGGTAGATATCGTTGTGGCAGCTTACCGCTAGATATTCGAAGGCGTGTCGCTTGTAGTTTTGGCAGGACATGTACAACGTCTCCAGGTTGTTCATCTGCACCAGGTCGATGAAGCAGGTTGGCGTGATGTGCGTATCGCGCAGGTCCAGCTTCTTCAGATTGAGCTTGTCGCATAGAATGCGAATTCCTTGATCACCAACCTGAACAGGGGCAAGGCAAAGCAGGATAACACATAAAGAGATCAGGGCGAGTCAGCAAGCAAGTATTGACAATATCCCAAGGAAAGCTATGCCCACACTACTCCATACCCTGTCGGCACCAAGCAAACCTAGTACTTAGCACAAGAGAACAAAGCAAACACCCCACGACCATGCGAGCTGTCATGTTGCCACCTGACTGGCAACGTCCAAAGCAGATCCCGAACAAAGCACACAGAACAGCGCGAAGGCGAGAAACTCACCGGTGTCGACCAGAGTCTCACTTCCGTCAGGTTCGGGTAGTGCGAGAGCATCCGCATGGCGTCCGTTCCGCACCGCGTGCTCGTCAGGTCTGCTATCCGCAAATTCTTCGTGTGTTTCGTCAGTGCTTTGCGCAGGTCCTCGCTCTGTTTGTAGAAAGCAGAAGTGGATTGCAGACATTATGATTAGGAGATGAGATCCGCAATCATGTCACCAATAAACTATGCATACTTTTACTGAAGATCTTGATGACCCATGTCAGCAGTGAAAGAATAAGAAAACATGTCTCCATTGGTAAACCAGCAGTGTAGCATTATGATGCTCCTTCCAGTACCAGCAACACAATGTTGGGATATGCACACAAATGAGTGCGGGTGCTTACCGTTGACCCGCATGGCAGCTCCAGTATCTCCACTGGTCCATCAACTTCCTCCACTGCCGCTTGACTGCAGAGACAGAGACAGAGAATGCTAGAGTTAGGATAGGCTACCCCGGAAGGCAGGCAATATAACTAACTACACGCGTGGCAAATCATCCTTCAGAGTGACTCGGGCATGCATAGGCAATCACCGATAGTGTTCCATTACTTATCTGTCAGGGAATCCTACTGGGTGCTTGCTTACCTGGAGGCCAGCTGATTCAGATGGTTGTGGTGGTTTCCCTCTCTCAACACCGCCTTGATCCGCTCCACCTCGTCTGCATCGGTGATCTCCTGGTATCTGACCAGGTCCACCAGCGCCTGCAATGCAAACGTGTTGTTCTTGCGGGCCAGGATCGCCAGCGAGTCCCTCACCGTCGCGAAGTTGGCGAGCACGCGCTTGAAGTTGCCCTCGGTGCAGGAGAGCGCCTGCACCAGGGTGCAGAAGAGCTCGTGTGACTCTGCCAGCGTGCACAGCGGCGAGCCGATGCGGAAGTGCTGCAGCCAGTCGGGTGAGTGCGTGGCATTGAGCCGGGTCAGCGACAGGCGCACGCCGAGCCGATCGTCCAGCGCCAGCTGCCGCACAAACGTGCTCATCCACCGGCCGGCGGAATGGTCCGACAGTGCCCTGTGTAACGGAGATCAAGTGGAGAAACGCGAAGGTTAATTTCAATGCCATGGCCGGAACTGCATGGCATATCTGCCCCAGCGCCAAAGAAACAGAATAACAATGACAAGGGAATCTTTTGGAAACACATGTGAATATTGGCGTCAGTCTACTTACTCATCTGGGAAATCTCTCGGCTTGAGAACCGCCATCTTTTCCCTCCAGTCGTCATATTGCAGTGCTTCTTCTACAATGAGGCCACACACTGCCAGTAAGCTTAGTTTCTTGAGCTCCCTGTAAGAAACAACAGAGAACATGGTACAATGAGTGTGAGAATGGGGGGAATGCTCCAAAATCAATAAAAGTACGGCAAAGAAACTGCGGGCAGAGTGGAGAAACGAAACCGTGCTTTCGCAGACATATGCGCACTCGTACACGTATTCCAATTGAGTATAGAGTGATATGGGCAGGTGACTTACTCATCTTCCTTGTACGCCGCTGTACAGCTCATGATCACCATCTCACGTAGCCGCGCAAAGACGATCGGGAACGGGCAGGCGAGATGCTTGGACGCACCGTGAAGTCTGCAACAGAAAGCGGACAAACGCAAACGAAGACAGAGCTGCACTGAGCCGCCGTAGCTATACCACTGAATGCTTGAAAAGGTTACACCAACACAGTCATGTACATGTACAGCATAGATTATCCTGATCGATCATGAATGCGCTCAGTCACCGTCTGTGAACAAAATACGTGCGGTGTCTTACCTGTGAATCAGTTCTCTCAGTTCGGCATCCTTGTTGCAGTTGTGCATGACGCGGAAGTATGACACGAGCAGTTCGAATTCACCCTGACTGCACTTGTGATCATTCAGCAGCTGTGAAAGAATACAGAGGGAGATGAGAAAATGTTTGGTCAATACTTGAATACCTTAGCCGTTCGGACCTGCTCCAAAAGGCAGGCGAAAATATCGTGAATAAGGTAGCTTCGCATCTACAAATGCATGCAGTCCATTGTATGACAAAGGCACAGCCAATAGTGAGTTCACCCTTACCGGCAGCTTGAACAGGTTGATGATCATGCTGTCCAGGTACCACTGGAAGTCAGTGTTGATTATACTGGTCATATGCTGGGGAAGGAGCGGATAATAAGAGAGAGACAACACATGCAGGAACAATCCATCAGATGTGCAACTGCAACTCGGAACACTGTCCACAAGAAACTTTCCCCACGGCAAACAAACGCAGAAGAGCGCGCAAGCCAGCGGAGTTCGACGCTTACCTTCTTGAGAAAGTGGCAGACAACATCCGGCGGTCGTAAGCTGGATAGTGTCGAGGCGAGCATGGGGACAATCACCTTCATGAACATCGGTGGTATTCTCGTCTGTGATACGCAACACACAAGCAAAGGAACGCAACAGTAGGTTTGTATTCACATTCTCGATGTAATGGCAGTTTCAGTACATGTATCCTCCATAAGCCCCAGAACACCGGCTCGCAACACGAAAGTTCTCGACAATGATTTGCTTGCATGTATTGGCTGCGCATGCATGCGGTGGTGATATTCTTTTGCTACTCACATCAGTGATGTAGTGACACACGCAGTCCAGGAACTCCTCTCTCGTGTCGTCGCAGCGGATTTTGCCAGTCGCCTGGTAGTCGGAGCAGAGCTTCATCAGGTCCAGCTTGGCCTGCTGAGACTTCTGCTCGCCCTTCAGCGCCCAACGCATGTCGCTGAGCATACGCTGAAAGAGAGAGAGAGAGACGCACATCAATAGGCAACCGTATTAGTTTCCCGCAGGAGTCCAATCCGCAACGTTCTAGGTAAGCATGAGTAGTACGACGCTCACAAGCAAAGCTGCACACGCACATTGTCGTTCTCTCGCCCTGTCCACACACACACACACACACACACACACACACACACACACACACACACACACACACACACACACACACACACACACACACACACACACACACACCACTCACCTTGTACTGCAACGAGTAGTACCACTGCTCTCGCTCATGATTCGACTGCAACTGCAGATAGTAGTCGCCGTACGACGTCTCAATGACGATCTGCTGCTGCTTGCTGGATCCGCCGCTCGTTTGTCTTTTGCGCGACAGGCTGGTGAAGTCCGAATAGCTCAGCAGGTAGTCAACACCGTCCTGTGAAGAAGGACACAGAGACAACACACAACACACAGCAAGCAATGAAAGATCTGCGCACTACTAGAAACCAGTTTTAATAGGCATCTATCCACACCGAACACAGCTCCAAACACCACACGACCCAAGTATGGACAGCGACGCTGGTAAAGTACAGACTGTTGCGCATGGTCGTCCTCCGTGAAACCCTCCCTGAAAGGTCACACTACGTTTTCTTGTTGCCCTCTTTGCAGAGACACCTCCGGGCTGTTCCTACTGCCCTCCACTTGGTGGCGTGGTGAAAAAATAGCTCCAAAGTTTCAGGGAACTAGCTGATCCCAGAAGTGCCACTTGGTGCGCGTAAGGACTTTTGCACACTAATTTCAGATTTCGACGAGGTGTTCCAATGCTGGGAGTTGAACATTTTGCATTATTTGTGGGTCTAGAAAGAACTGAAAATTACTGTGATGTACCAGACCGGTAGTATTCGGTGCTGTCAATGTTTCATGCAAAATGGTACACAGGTACATGGATGCTGCATTGCTGTCATAGACTGCGTGGCCATGAGTACGAGACTGGTTTGCCTTGGGAATGTCTGCGAGATGTTTATGACCAATCGTGTACATGGTATTGTACACTGGGAGCAGTATTCATGATCATGGTTCCTTTGGTTCAGTGGGTTACTTGTCTTGACTGACTTTGGCAGCAGGTGCATTGCAAAAGACGTATTGGACAATAAAATATTCGCTGCGCTGGAGACCTCATTGTCACACCTACTGACACTGTTTACGTTCGCTGTGACGTCAATCGGGACATGCTGTCACGTCTGCAGTTCCGGAAGAAGCCAGGAAGGCTGCACGCAGAGTGTTCCAACTCTCAGGCCTCACGCGACCCGCCGTGGACGCTCAGTTACGATGTGTTACCGTTCACACATTCTTGAGCGCAGCAGAGCCTCCGGACGCGACTTCTGACGCACGAGAGGTGTCGCGGCTGCCCAGACGAAAGCAATGAGTCGGAAGAAGACATCCTGAACATGGCTGCAGTTCCTCACGTGGAAGCAAGAAGACATCTCAGATTTTCGTCACACAGCTCGTCAGCATGACCACAATACCGGATTGATCAGCTGGACGAGAGAAGGAATGCACTGTTTCTTCCGTCACCGGTCAGTCAGCGGTGCATGTACGCACGCGCACCCATGCAGTGTTTCAACGAACTAAAACACCCAACGCCGAGCGGACAAAACTAATCGAAATCATTGCCGTCTGCTAGCAAGGGCGATAGGCATTCGGATGGAGAAATCGTGCTCACATTTCCGCGGACACACGGGGGATCAATCTGCCGCAGTGACGAGCACGTATCCAAATATGTAACAAATGACAACCCCGAAGGATGATGCTGACTGTGCAGTGCTAGTGGGCTGCACTCTGCTCGGAGTCGGTAGAAACTACTTGCTATACAACAATACCGCAAAGAGAGATACAATGAGATAGACTTGAACGAGAATACGAAAGACAGGCAAACCACCACCACCAATACAGGCTGGCAACTCCAAACGACAACCACTTACATTCCGTGACTCTTGCTCCGCAACAGGCACGACCAACAATCTCCACCACCTGAAGATTTTGCGTCAAGCTCAAATCGTGTGTAATTTGTTCGTCTGAGAGGACCACGTTTTCCAGTGGGGAACCTACATAACGCTCACATAGTCACGTCCGAAGATTTGGGCTGGGGTACGGAACGTCAGCGCTACACAGGATTCGAGGCTTCCCGAACGACGAACACATCGCCTCACTTCAAACGACGGTCTAAAACGGCGCGAACACTTTACGGCTCGCTCGACTGGTGGTCACGATCTGCTGCACGTTCCTCTCCTCCTCACCATGCAAAGCATACAAATAGGCGAGTAGCCCCATGCGCAACATCCCGGATTTTCGCTGTTTCCACCGCCTGACTGTTTACATTTGCAAGTCCTGCCGCACAGACCGCCGTGACCCAAGGAGGGAGATTCTCAAGTGCTTTCAAAGTAGCTCTCGGCTTCTAGTCACGTTTCTAGGGATTTGGCCGCACGTTCGAAGCGAAGCACATCTCCTGCCAATCGGCCAGCAACGACACAAATTTTTCTATAACTTCACAAGTAAGATCCCCGAGAGGGGGAGACGGGCCGACAAGGCTAGCGCCGAGCCGTCATTCCCACATCTCGAGGCGCAGCTTCCGACAAATCCAGTAGCTTTCCGCACTTCGCGCTGCCGACAACATTTTCTAGACGTAGAATCTACGCGAAGAACTGTGAAGAATCACATTATAACACGAATATCACACAACTGTTTCAACACCTTTCACAGTTCGGATCGGCACACAACTATTATGACTGCCAGAGCGCTGTACATGCACGTGCAAAACCTCAGGTCGGTCAGAGTGAAAAACGGCCGAAGCGCTCCAGCAGTTCACAGGCAACCAATGCCACCAAGGCAGGCAATGCCAATGGTGGTTTTACATACTAGTAGTAGTAGCAGCAGCAGCAGCAGTAGCAGCAGCAAGGACAGGCAGTGATGTGTTAGTTCTGCGATGGTCGTTCTCGTCGACGACATTCCATGTCGGCCGGCATCAGTCGTCAGCCGAGCATATCACAAGCGATCGAACTGAACAGGCCAGCCAGCGTCACAGGAAAAGACACTGCGCACACCCAGGCCCTAGAGCAGTGGAGAAGCTCGCTAGATCTACGCACACCACGCCAAGTCAGCACGCTACATGATTTGCCAGCGCCAAACTGCTGCCAATGCCACCAAGCACAGACAAGTCGTTCAGGAGAAAATCGTTCGTGCCTTGTACCGTAGCTGGCCATGACGTACATCACGGCAGGATCTACACAAGGTATACACACTAAGCCACTAACTGCTCAAAGCAAAGCAGGAACAAACCACCCACTAGCGGACAAATAACGCGTACGTGAAGCGATTGAACTAGGCTTTTTACCGGCACAAGTGGTAAAGACGAAGGCTGGAAAATATCATCGTCTGCGAAAAACACGCTCCGCAGTTCTAAGCAAAGCGTCAGGGACACAGGGAAATGACACGCACCACAAGGATAGTGCACTGGAGTCTCGCCAGTTTACCTCTCGTCCTGTCAACCTTCACCAAAGCTAGCTTGACCTCGACACTGCTGACCACATGCACATGCCCCACAGAACTGCCACTACACGTCCGTGACTCGTCCAGATCCATCCACGCGAGGAAAAACTCGCCCGCCCGAACATGGAAACACGGACGCTCGCTCAGCAAATTTCTATCCTAAAATGAGTTGAGAAATCATAGGCGCTCATCATTAGACAATCCTCAGCCAACACTCGACGAGAGTTGTGATGATTGTTATGTTTTGTACACCTGCCGACATAGAAATTGGCAGTAGAAGGAGGTCCTATAGGATCATGACACTCACAAAACGGGTTGGCATTTTTCTATTTTAGCTGGCGCGAAAATACCGTTGCTGTGGCTCGATGGTAGGCCATCACCGCCTACTGCTGTACTGTCATCGCGGCCGGGATAGATACCATGTGCAACAGGGGACGCACAGTTGTGACCATGACATTGCAGAGACAGTTGAACAAGATGAGCTGCATGGTGATCGATGCAACCCCAATGTCTACAGCAGCGCCATTCACGCCGTACCCGAGGCAAAAGGCGAACACGACAAATCGAAAATGAAAGCTCACAAGCAAATAATTAGGGAAAGAGCACGACCCTATCAATGGACACATATTGCCATAATTACTCCGATAGTTCTCTTGAGATGCACATGATGCACGTTTCGGGTGCCGCAGGCCGCAAGTGCTGCAGAACGTGCACGTTTCACACACATGAAATTGAGGGAAAAGATGGAGAGAGAATTTCAACACTCACCTGTCTGAGCCAAAGTCCATCATCCCGCACCTCCAACCAGTAAGTCCTCATTCGATTCTCCACGGTCCGATCACTGTTCGACGAACAACTAAAGAATCTTCTCCGTCTACTTCTGTTATGTGCCCGATCTCGGTCCGAGCAGGGCAAACGCCTGTTAGCTGCAGGTAACAGCGCTACTTCATGCACTCTCAGAAAACAGCAAACGTTTCCCTCTCGAGCTAAACTGTAGCTGGGTCGCTCTTCGCCTAAAGATGCAGTGCGCCTAACACCCGCTGCTGCCTGCATCCTCAGCTCCTCTCAGCACTATCTGCGCCAAACGCACTGTGTAGCGTCACCCGTACTCTGCGTCGTGATCATCCCATAAGTCCAACCCTCGTGCGCTTCGCAAAGGGCATGAGACGGCAGCAGAGAGAAATACTACTAAGCAGGCAAACCTCTTGCAGGAGGCAAACTCCACTGCTCTCTCCACGGCGTTCTCCTCTTTTTCTGCAGAGCAGCAGAAAGCTGGAGCTGTGCTATCGCCTGCAAGCCACCAGACTGTCGCAGCCAAACTGTGATCGACGCACTTGCCTCTGTTGCCTCTACTCTCACTCAGTCCGACTCCCAGGCTCTCCACATGCACCACGCGGTAGGCTAGGAAGAGTGTGCCAAATCGGTGCACGTTCAGATACAGCAGGCGCTCTGACTGCTGACTCCTACCAGACACTGTCTGCCTATGCTGTGCTAGGCTGTAGCTCAAGCTGCTGCTGCATACCTACGTAGCTACGCGGAGATACACACACGCCGCACTAAAACTGATTGAACTGTAGGCACAAACCGTGGATCATGCAGTCAGTCTGACGTGAAGGGTGAAGACGTGCGCTCACAAGTCAAACCCTGTTATGTGTCCAATCTCGGCAGCCAGTGGCCAGGCATCGGTCAGAGACCAGAGCTACACTGCACGCATTGCACTGGGCACCAGCACTCAGCAGCGACGAAGCCAGCACGAGGCTGCCCTTTCCTTGCGTCACGCAAAGGCATGCACGTGAGGCCCTAATGACGTCAATCCGTGACCGCGTAGTTCACTGGTGGCTGTGCCCAAGGCCCCTCTCGCCGTTCTCCTTGTTCAATCTTGAAACACAAGCACGCGGGGAACCTCGTGTTCCCTTCGACCTCCGAATCTTCTCCGATCAGCGCAATGTGGTCTGTTGGCAGTGCTGGAATGGCCGTAGCCCGTACTACTGCTGATGTGTAGAGACTCCTGACAACAATCTTGGTCCAGTGTGGCGCATCGCAGCTAGTACAGACACACATGCACGGTAGTTGCTGTCTGAGCTCAAGAGGTAGGCTAGGTATGCTAGGCTTCACAACGAACCAATGACAATTTAAAAATTCATGTGTCCAGAAAGTCGTGGCAACAAATCTGTCTTATTCTGATTTTCAACGCTGTATACCAGGTATACATGATGTAGTGCTAGATGCTGTACTGGTAGACCATGGTAGACGTCACGTGGGGTGTCGATAGTGTGATGTATATGTATGAGTGGCACTCCATCATACTTCATCAGTCTGATATATCTCTGACTCTATACTGTGTAAACTAACTGTTGTCCTACATTAATTTTAGCATTCCTTTGCACAGAATGATAATGACTGACTCACTGTATAATTCTCGCAGCACACGCATATTCTAGCTCGTTGCGCGCGTGTGATTTCCCGCGGACCTGCTGAATGCCATACACGGTAGTGTACGGACGGGTTACGTAGATCTACGTGTACGTAACATATGCACAGAAGGCTTGCGAGTTACGCACTGAGTCTAGACTTGCTGTGTCCCGGGTTTACGCACACCATGGCACACCGCGCCGTACCCAGGTACCTGGTCTGAACAGGCATGCTAGGCATGGCAGTCATTCCCAAACCCGCGCGTGTAACGTACTTATCCACATAAAACAATGTTGACCCAGCTGACCTTGGCTTGAGATATGGGTATACCATGTATACGTGTACGGTGTAGGGTAGCGCTATAGCGTGGATAAATCAGCCGCCGACAAGTCACACATTCATAGTGATTTCCTTCAAAGATAAATCTCCGGATGACCGGGCAATCAGAGGGTGTAAATTTCCTCAGGGAAGACGTCAGAGGATTTTATTTGCTCTATCGCTTGTCGCAGTAGATTGTGGCCAAATCTGAGATGAGGTGGCTCGCCTGCAGTGTAGGACCCCCGGATAGATTTAGCACTGATAATGGAAGATGTGATGGTACTGGGGAGTGGGGTAGCCTGATGAACGTCATGTTCGACGCAACAAATGATGGCCGGTTGGTCGAGGAAACGTTTGTGCGTTGGAGGAAGTAAAACGATCAGTGATTGGGTGAGCTACTGGAGTCCTCAGAGTTTTCTTCTCGTGACGTGAGGTTATTATTATACTAGTATCATTTTCTTTGTGCTTGAGAAGTTGACTTCTTCGGGCGCCATTGACTCGAGACAATGCTGCGCGAATGCGTAGACAATGCTGCGCGTGTTTCACTGCGTGTGTCGTTGCGTACGCACACCCCTGTATCAGTCTTGTCTGCGGATAGAGAACGATTGATGCGACAAGTGTTCTGTTACAGCTTCGAGCTCTGCCTTCCCGTCACCACTGGCACTAGTCCTAGTGCTCCTGTACATGTATTACTAGTATTCAGTGCGTGTATTGGCACACCACAAAACGTCATTGGCACTATGCTGCTGGGTAGGAGCTCATGATGACCGATACTGCGATAGGAAAGATTGCTGCCTCTACTCTATCAGTGTTCCATGACTTGCGTGGTCTTTGTGCTGATCGCGAAATGGTTCTGCTTTTTATTGCTTGATAAAGTAAGTTCTCCTTGACGGCTTGAGGCCTTCTCCCTGAGCGAAGGCGGCTACGATTTCTTTGAAGTTTGTTTCGTCGCCAATTGGAATGGAACAGCCGGCGACATGCACACGTAGATATGGACGCCAAACGGATGGGCCACTGTAGATCGCAACAAGGCTTGGGTGTCTGGGGCACGAGGCTCGACTACGACATAGGATTCAGGAAGTCGTCACAACTCTCACTGGTAATTGCACGTACATCCTGAACTGAACTAACTTGCGTCTACGGTGCGTAGCGTCGCTATTCAGAAGGTCGAGGGTCCATTCGCTCTACGATCATGTACAAGCGCGTTTCCCTTGCACAAGGTGGCGAGTGGTCGTCTGCGGCTGGAGTTTCAGCAGAGACCTGACGGATGTCACGGTGACGTTCTAAAACTTCAAAGCAAATAGCCAGTCCCCAAGGACATTCACGTTCACTCCACCGCGGGCCCTGTCAATAGCAGGTACATGGTTTCGCGCGTTAGCAAACTGGTTGTTCTTTTGCTTCTGTCAACATGGTCCCTGTGCTAGAGTCCCTTGGGTTGTTGAGTTAGTGCAATTATTTGCAGCTGCCATTTCAGATGGTTACAAGGTGGCCTGGCTTGGCTTGAAGAAATAGAATTCCGTGTCCATTTTCAACAGAACGGATCGTGTGACCACCAAGGTAGAGGGCACTAGGCCCGAACGTTAAAGTGACCTTTACTAACACCTTATACTTAGTCTTTTACAGTTACCCGCACAGAGGTTTGGGCTGCTGTTAAGGTTTAGATGTATTTGAAGTGCGCACATGAAATCAGGGGACTCAGTGCCATACAGGTAGGATCGATAATAATTATACTGTATCACAGTGTATGCCTGTGCGGGTGGCGCAAAGCTACTGCACCAGTATCAGAATGACTGTAGCTACCATGGCCGTAGCTGTTGGACATGTATAGTGAACCTTGAGCATCGTATACATGGTATACGTCACGTACCATATGGATTCTCTCCCGGGATCTTGACTGTCTTTGCTTTGCACCCTTCTTTTCCCTGTTCGCCGATAAGTTGCCCTCGTTCGTTACGCACAACCCCTTGGTGTTTCATAACAGGGTTCCGGCAAATGCTATTATTTCAGACTGCTATAAGGCGCGTGTGTACTATTACATGATATCTCATGCGTTCGTGCCAATTCTCAAAGCGACAAAACTAGGAGGTGAAGTGACATGATGATGGGGGCAACGTTGGGTTGGACATATTTGACCCAGCCGCACAATCGTGCACGCAACCTTTAAGGAACGTGCCATCTCTCCCTTGCCCTGCGTACAGAAATCCATGACCTGCATGTGGTTCTGCGGCTCACCTTTTCGACTTTATGCCAGTATGGCTCGCCTCCGGATCTATTACTATACTCGGGGCACTATGTCTTATACCGTACCAGTACAAATGAAGGTAGTGTCAACTCATTGCGGGTAGGTGTACCATGACGCCAAATCTCCAATACACCCGAGCCAGATAGACATTTCTGTCGCAATGGAGTACAATTACTACAAAACGCAACATCATAAGCTTGTGTCAAAGCAACAATGCCCACCAACCACGTTCGATGTTAGTGCACACCACCCGTATTCCCGTAAGCCAACACTCGGAGGCCTCGGAGGCGAGGGCGGGAAGAGTTGTTCCTTTCGCCCCAGGCTTCCCCAGTAACACAGTCATGCACCTGGAGCTAGCTGACTGGAGTCTTCACTTCACTCAGTCTTCAGTGTGTGGGTACTGAGCACTGGGGCCATGCGGCATGCCATGCCATGCCAGGGGGCGGGGGGAAGTACTCTCGTGGACATGGACATCCAGTCGACTGACTGGGGCCGGCGCCCGGCCCCTCACTGGCCTCAGCGCGTGCAGAACGTGAGTCGTTGCATGTAGGGCACGTAATCGTTGATCCGGCCGATGCGATCAGCAGCGCATGCTCGCGTGTATGTACTGCTTACCGATATTATTAATATCGATGGCCAGCGCTCTGGTCTAGCCTGGGGCCGCTAGACGTCACGTGCGACCGGATTTCCATGTCCACGACAGTACAATATCAGGTACTGCTACTGAGTACCGTAGCTCAGACTCAGAGCATTATTACTGCCATTACTGAGAGCATCCTGTGCCTCACCAGTTTCGATTTTGGAACAACTACCACTGCTGCATTGGCTGTGCCAGCAGTGGTAGTTTGTACATGTACATGTAGGTCATCCACGCTAGGGTCCGGCGGATTCTGCGGGCAGAACAATTGGCAGAATTCGGTACTTTTTCTAGTAAGTTTCATGCATGTTTGGTATGTGGATAAAAAAAATGGAGCAGAATTCGAGGATATGCCCGCCATAAGGTTTGTATGGTTCTGCCAATTTCACTGCTTTTTGAGCAGAATCTGCCACCTTTTCGAGCAGAATCCGCCGGTCCCTAATCCACGCCCAACTGATTACAACTCAGCCATTCACACATCCGGAAAGCTCACTACATGTACAGTGTATACATGACATAATTATTTCAATAAATGAGCGGAATTTTATAGAACAGGAAAAGGACCAAGGAACTACATGTACAAGTAATAATTAGTTACGCTACTTGTACAATGTCCACTAACACCACCAGTTACTAAACAATCAGCTCATGCGATAACCACGTCATTGCACGACACTGTCCGACGGTCTGACGTTCTACAACTAACTATTACTTGTAGTTCCTTGGTCCTTTTCTTTTCCCTAAATTTATCCTTGACTCTCCATCCGAGTCCACTCTTGCACACCTGATGAGCGGAATTTTAAAAGACATTAGAAATATGGGTTTCATTTGACCCGACGGGATTGTTTTCTCGTAACTCTGAGTTTCAATTATTTGTCCAATCACTTGCCCAACTGCCATGTTAGTTGTTACTCAGAGCTACAGCGAAACAAAGTTTCCCCACCATTGTGAACTTGTGTATGTGATAGTACATGTAACGTTACGTGTAGGAGTAGAGACATCACTCTACATGAAAAGAAGAAACGTCCGTCAAAATACATGGCATGGAGTTTATAATAATACTCGAAGTACAAACCAACAGCAACTTTCATGTACATGTACGTGTACAAGAGGAAGGATCAACATGTTACCAGTTTTGACCAAGAGTCCACCACGGTAAGAAATGAATAATATTATTATTGGCTCGCCATCCGATGGCAACTTTGTTTTGTATGCTACTCGTAATGCCCAACATTCCCTACATCCGGACTCAACTCCAACTCCTGACAGCTACAACAGAATTTACTACTCACGTACATGTACGTGAGTCTCGTAGCCTCTTTTACGGGCAAAATAAACACAATTTTCCCAAGTGTTCCAAAAACTTCAACTCAAAGTTCTAGAAAGAAAGAAAAAAAGAAAAAAAACACGCAAAAAAAACAAAACAGCACAGCATGCACGTGAGTACACGCACTGTCAGCTAGCTGTTCACGCAATTGTTAGACTGACAGCATGAAACAACACACTGTGTTCGAAAACAGTGACTGTTTACAGCTGACGAGCTGAGAGAAGGACGCCGTGGGCAGAAGTTGGAAAAAAAATGAAAAAGAAGAAGAAGTTTTTATACAAGTTAAAAAAGAGCGAAGACAACAAGACGACATCAGGAGTAGTCTCCTAACCCCCTAGCATAACGAGGGTCAGAACCGGGTGCGATACCCATATGGTTCAAATGGTCCGCAGGGACCGGGGCTCTGCCAACCGCGGAAGGTTGTAGTAAGGTCACTGTTTTCGAACACAGTGTCCTCCTCCTTGTTTCATGCTGTCAATCTAACAATTGCATGTAGAAAGTACTAGCAGGACTACTACTAGTAGTCCTGCTAGTCACTACATACAGTACCAGTGGGCAGTAGTTGGAAAGAGAAAGAAAAAAGAGTGTAAAAAGAGCAGAAAGACGAACAATTCAGAACTAAAGCTACACATTTTATGAGGACTGAGTATCAAGAAGACATCCAGGAGCGAGCAAAGAATACACGACTGACGGTACAACAACAGGAAGGCAAGTCGATCCCTAGAATACAGAGCCTCAGAGGGTCAGAACTGGGGCAACACCCATACGGAATACTGAGATGGTCGCAAGACCGGGCCCGCGGGGCTCTGCCAACCGTGGATGATGGTTGAACTACATGTAGTACAATGTCATGTAGAAAGGTCACCGACTGTCCGTTTCCGAACACGGGTCGGTAGTCCTCCACCTTGTCATGTAGACTCTACATGCTGTCGACCAACAACATAGTCACTACAACTAAGTTACTTTCAAAGTCTACATTGTCACAGTACTAGTAGTAGTAGTAGTAGATCATTATTTTTAACTTGCTACAATCTGACTGAGTTTTCTACATGAACCATTCAGCATTGAATGTTTTTCGTGTGACTGTGAGCCACTAGCGATACTAGTACACTACTGGTGGTATAATATAACCCAATACTAGTTCAGAACTAGTATTAGAGAAACCTTGTTATTCATGCTGTCAATCTAACAATAGCACACTACTGCAGTAGCAGTGAATTCCAGTTAGAAATGTCAGTGACTGATAATAATTATTATGAGTGGGTCGAGGAAGCTTTGTACAGTCAAATCTGTCGTAAGCGACCGCCCCTTGGTGCAAGAAAAAGCGGTCGCTTACGGCAGATGGTCTCTTACGGCAGATGTATGGTAAATCCGGCACACCAGGTATATGCTTCCATGTACTCAAATCGACGAGGATAATGTGATTTTTAATATCATTTTTTGGATATTCAACGACGACCATACCCGGAAAGTACGCGTATGCGACACGGCAGTAGATCGACACTGCCTGGACTTGAGAGCTACAGCACAGCCTCAGTACAGGCCAGGCGCCAGTCGATCGCACTTGCAAGACAGCGCATTTTCACACTTTGCAGTTGACAGCGCTCTGGCAAGTACAGTTTCGCACCTTACTGAACCTGGGTCGCGGTCGCTTACAGCAGATTTGAATGCAGCCACCGTGCATGAAATCGCGGTCGCTGGTCGCGCACAGCAGATGGTCGTTCTGGACAGATCAGTTTGTATGTGAAACCGTCGGTGCACGGAAAATCGGTCGCTAACGGTAGATGGTCGCCTACAGCAGAGGTCGCTAACGGCAGATTTGACTGTATTGCTAAAAGTGAATAAGTTAGTTCCTAGTACAGTACTACTAGTCAGTAGTACAGTCCGTATCGCCTATAAGGGTGGCGGCTATAGTAATATACCGGATATAGTGATCAATTTCTCAAATTCATTTTCATTTGTCATAACTAAGTATACACAGTTATCGCGTATAGTAATAATCGTCTATAGTAATATAATTATCGCCTATAGTGATCAAATTCATATTTCAAAAGATGTTTATTACACTATTTTTGCATCGGTTATAGTGATTGATGTGAAATCAAGCGATGTCAGAGGAGAACAGGGTATTACTTCTTCGTGAAGAACTTGTCCAGTGAGTGTTGTGTGGTGAGTTTTGCTTGTATAAGTTGCTAAAATATGCCTCCATCATGAGGAAATCCTGATTTTGTGTGTCCGGAGCTACAGCCAGCTACATGACATTGTACATGTATGTAGTGCGTATGTGCACGGCGCGCTGAGTCGTTTGACACCCCACTCGCATACATTGCATGCAGTATCGGTCATAGTAATATATCGCTTATAGTGATAAAATGCTCAAAATCAAACACCAACGCTATAGGCGATACTGACTGTAGTTTGTTTCTTGATGACACCATGGACACCGTGTGCAGGGATAAGGAGTGCAGTGGAGTCAGGCCTGCTGGGATGCTAGCGTGCTATCTACTGTACTACTCAGTGTACGCACGCGCCACGCTATCTGGGCAGCTACAAAAATGATTATGTGCGTGCGTGCGTGCATTAGAAGTGTCATGTTAGCCTGTCAAATCAGTTGGAAGTCATAGCCAGTGGCAGTGCTCATGCTTGAGGGTCTCGCCCAACGGCCGAGTCGCGTGCTCCTCCACATCACATGTACAGTGCTGTCAGTTCTAGTTGAAAGCCCTCGACCTCGTGTTTATCCGCGCCGTGGTCATCAGTTGGTTGATATTATGTCAGCATGCAAGCAAGAATGGTCTTTACCGACATTTGCTGTACTCTATTGTTTCTTGTGTTTGCGACTCTCTCTCCCTCCAACGTAGTTCAACCACAAGAACAGTCTTTATTGGGTCTGCGAGCACGCACGAAACCCTGCTATCGACTATGTCGGGTCTGAGCAGTGCCCTGGTGCACCGGTGACGGAGACTTTCAACACCGCGCAGCGAATGCTGTCGTCAAAGGCGCAATACAACCCTGAACCCTTGTTCTTCCGGTGATGCTTCCACTATCCGCCGTTCGAGCCACGAATGGCAAAATGTCGTGTTGTCACAATGTGAGTGTGACCTAATGCGCAGGAAAGTGAACACTCTATTCCAGACCAGAGTCCAGACTCCAGAGGCAGAAGAGTAACTACTTGCTACGGGTACAGTTTGTCAGCGGAGGCAAAGGAAAAGCAGGTGTCTTTAGCAGCTGAGCTCCCACAATGAAAAGAAACTAACCCACGCCCAGATGGTATTGACAGGCGATATGTTCTCTCGGCCCATAAATGTCCTGGAGTGGCATGAAATGCAGTGCCACAGCTACATGTATATCATGTATATCCGCAGTCCCTGGTTTTTATATTTATGGAGATATCGTTCTTGCCAGCTGCTCCAGAACGACGTTTCTCTCGGGGACCTCCGGTGCAAGATTGACGTGCGACAGTCAATGATGTAATGCGTATCTGCAGCCCAAATGCCGGCGCTGCCATGAACGACAGATTCTACGATGGCCAGAGTCGACGCGCTTGAACAGCGTTCGGGATCTGCAATCACGCGAATGACGATTGACCGCTTGTACGGCTGAATGGTGGCGAGAAATTCTCTGACGAAAGACTTCGCCACGCAGCGATTGGTAGCGGCCCTTTGATGATGCCCGTCACACCGAGGAATGCGTATCATCCCCAGTACACTGTATCAGCATGACACCAACTTTTGTGACCAAGGAAAAGGGCCAGCGAGCGGTGCGTGCGTGCGTCTGTGAGCTGACAGCGTGCGCCTGTGCACCTTTTCGGCCATGGGCATGGTGCATCGTGTTTGATCGGCGGAAGGACGCATGCAAAGCGGATAAACATCCACGGCCACAGAGCTACGGTGAGCGTGAGGTAAGAGTCGGGCACTAACGTCGTTCTAGTGTACAATCATGTACTTTACAGCACATTCTTGTAGTGACCTGTTGCTCGCGTACATAATTTTATGGTGTCACCGATTCTTTGCGACATACGTACAAGGCGAAAATCATGTTGTGATGCCGCTCGATTTTTACGTGCGTGCGCGCAAGTGTCTGTGGCCTTCGCCCGCGGGTTTATCCATAGATGTACATAATCATTGTACCAGGACTTCAACGATCCCCTCACTACAGACTGTCAGTGGGCAGGCTAAACACATACATGACATTGTATAATGTACACAGCTGCACAGGGGTATGCGGTCACATGACCATGTCAATGGTGTGTCACTGATTACTGCCTCAGTGACTGTGTACACAGCCTGTGTGAATAATAATAATAATAATAATTCTGTTTCTGTGTAGTATGTGTGTTACCCGTGAATGATTATGACTGTTCAGGAACTAATTGCAGGCACTTCCAACAGTGGTATGTACTGTGCATGCCTGCACAGTACACTGCAGTACCCAGCACAGGCATTAGCAATCAGTATTGTTTGATGGTAAAGTGATAATAGTACATGGTGCCATATGGCAGTGGTAATGAGCGCACAGAGCCATGCCTAGACAGACTGCTGGTTACAGATGTACATGTACTGCATGTGGAGGTGTCTCGAACACCTAACTAAGCGCTGCAAGTCAGCACGTGACATTACTCACTGGCCAGAAGGCCCGGGACTGGGAGCCGTGACATCCTTCAACTTGACAGTGCCGTTGGCATGTGATGGTGAGAGCGGGCCAGTGAAATCTCTACGGCAATGTGCGCTGCTGGCAGTGCGCTGCAATCAAGTGACAGGATGGGCACACGTTCTCTCCGGCACTGCTCTCGTTCTGGCGTGTGGACGCTGACAGGCCCGGCCATCATAATATCGAGGCCGTATGCGACGGCAGCGCTCGTGTCCTCGGGGATCGCGAGCTGCTGGCACGCACGCGAGCGCTTGTCACCGCAAGAGGCCCTGCAATGCTGCTGTGGTCTTGTCCGGACACTCGCCTGCCAGGATTGCGCTTAAGTCTCTCACGTTTTCCTCACGTTTTGCGCGGTACTGGGCATGCAGGCTTCTGCAGGTTCTATTTAGAGATGGCTGTTTCTCTCAACTTGGCATCGACCATCCAAGAACGGCTACGTCCAGTGCGTATTGACAGTCCATCGCTTCGCCGAAGCATGGTTTGCGCAGCGTTTAGTACACGTTGCTTGGATGTGTGTGCGGTCTGGAGTGCTGTTTCACGGGGGAGCTAGGTAGGCGTTTCATGGCTTGTCGAGAGCAGCGCAAGCTCAATGGTGGCTCCCGAGATGAAATGTGCACTTCCCCATGGTGGCGATCGGAACCCCTTGTCCCACATTTTTTTCATGTTCTTTTTGGCGCTCTTGAATCAAGTGGTGACAGACAATGCAAGCTGGTGAATGTGGCTTTAATGCTGGCATGGTTGCAGTTGCCAAAGAAAGAATACTGGGTGATGAATGCAATACCATCCGGCCCTGGCTGGGAACGCGTCATTGATGCACGGTAGTGCAATGCGGCAGTACAATAATGACTTCACTGCATCCGCCGGTATGATGTCATCGTGGACTGCAAGATGGCAGGGTCGGTGTAGATACGTCCGACAGACTATGTCCCCGGATGCAGTTACGCATCCAGCTGTTCCATTTGTGCCCTGAACTCTAAAGCCCTTTTCAGTGATCACCACCTGAATGTGAACAGGGGAATTCCTATTCTTTACAGATTTTCCGGGAATTGTTTCCCTTACATTGAATAATGAAGGGATGGCCGGATCATCTGGGTTCCATGTCACTTTGGGCAAGGTGGTGTTGCACAATAAAAGTGAGAAATTCTGGACGTCGGAGGCGGTATCTGAAGCATCTTTCATAGCGTAACTGGGGCGAGCATGTCACCTATGGAAGTGCCTTCAAGGCGGTGGAATGCTTGCAGTGAAACTATTTTTCTTTTGTAGATGAGATAACGGACCAGGCGAAACTGAATAGGGATCCATTGATTGCCAGTGGTGCACTGACATTTCGTAAGGATTTGAGTCCGCATCGGTTGGAACTTACATTTAATAGTGGACTTTAGGTAAATGTTTTGCTGGCAGTATTGATGACGTCATTACTGTCCTGCTTTGACGCAGGTCATGTCCAGGTTTTTGGCAAAAATCCAGTCATTCCTGGGATCTCAGCCAGTACACTTTGCCGGAATCTCAAGTATCACTGGCACTCGCCCTGCTGGAATGCCATTGTTGTCACGTTGGTCACCAAGAGCACGGGTTTTCTCAACTTTTCTTGTGTTTCATGCGCATGCTTGGCCAACAGTTCTCTGCCCAATTAGACTTCAGCATGGTTCAGATTCACCTGCACCACGAGCTATTTTTGAAAGTCACGACCCCCATAATGTAAGCTCCTCTTCATGGGAAGTTTTCGTTCTTAGGGTATTGTTGGTCAGTCGTGGATCCTGGTGGTGACAGTCAATTTTTCCTTCAGACTTTTCTCCTTTTCCATTCCCTCAACGACTGAATATTTGAGTGTTAAATCCTTCTTTTTTTTTTAAATTTTGAAGCAATGTAACATAAAAAATTACGTGGAGACAATTTAATTATGGCAGTAAAAAGGATCAGGTGCGCACTCATTCTATACACACATTAAGGCAAAGTTGTTGGGTGAATTCCAAGAACGTTTTCTTGTGATCGTCATCAGTTGGACTAACATCACATTGTCGATACGAAGGTAAAGCAATAGGGTATATAAACTATTGAGACATTGAACGACCTGACACCTAGCTGTAGCATTCTAGTGCAAAAAATAAATATACTCTTGTTACTTTTCCTTCGTATCGACAATGTGATGTTAGTCCAACTGATGACGATCACAAGAAAACGTTCTTGGAATTCACCCAACAACTTTGCCTTAATGTGTGTATAGAATGAGTGCGCAGCTGATCCTTTTTATTGGTATAATTGAAATAAATAAACCTAATGCAACAATCTCTCCTCCTCTTCTCCTCTCAGCCGGCACATGGCTACCCTCAGTAGCCATGACACATACCAATAATTCTAAGCAACGAACGGGTTACATGTGTAATGGCTACTGAGAGTAGCTATGCGTCGGCTAAGAGCGCACGGGGGAGAAGAGGATGAGAGATCAAGTTGTTGCATTATTGAACAGCCGAATGGTACTGCTCACAACTTATTTAATTAACCTACTTATTTATTTTTTGCGCAATAGACTGTTACAGCTAGGTGTCAGGCCGTTGAATGTCTTTTAGTTTTGTGCCCAGTTATCATACTTTCTGACTGCTTATCATCTAGATACAGCGTTGCAGTGACTCAAAGCTCGTACCCATGTGTCCTTTACATTTTACTCGTAATTATAATATACGAGGAGATAAGACAAATAATTATCGCAATGAAACCTTTTAAAAGGAACATAGTATTTTTCTGACGTATCTAATTCCTGAACGTTTTCAAAACCTTCACGTCAGAGGAATTACAGGGAAGGAAGCAATAGGGATTGGCCACCAAAAATACAAGTACATTGCATGATAGATTATTATGAACTCTAGATCATTCTGATGATTATTCTTTTTACTGGTTTGAGGTAAAGATGCAAACGGGAAAGGCTGAAGGAAAAATTGACTGTCACCACCATAATCATTTTGATGGCGATTCTACTTTATGGTCACTTGCACGTTCATTTAAAATGCCAACTGCGACAAAACACACTCGTGCTGAAATTGTTTGCTGGTAAGCATTTCAGTTGTGTGATACACGTTTTGGAAATTCATTATTGACTCAACACCAGAGTTTCGAAATATTTTTAAATCAAAATATATGCGCCCATCGTTCAACATGCGTGTACTAAGAACTGGTAAAGTCAACACTATTGCTACACAGTTTCATTCTGATTCGGATGCATACTTGTTTGTGGCAAGTTTATTCTCTGATTAAGTACTCTAGTTATCGTCTTCTGTACACTCTTTTAAAGTTAACCTTGGGCTATTTTAAACTCTCGATTCCTTCATGCCTTTTCTCTTTTTTCTTACTGTTTCGGATAGTTGCCGTGGTTGGCCATCACCCTTCATTTCACATTCATTTGTCATTGGCAGTCGTCTGACGAGCCGGGAAATGTTGAATGAATACAAATACAAATACAAAGTATCTCTCTTCGTGAGCCTGGTATACAGTCGACCTTGCCAACAACAACCCTCGATGGTCGCATCAAGAGAAAAGTGTCGTGATTCACAAGTTGTCGTTATTCGTGATGGTGACCAAATTGTTGGCTCTTTGATTGGCGTGGTCAGCGAAAGGAATTACTGTAGTTCGTCTCAACGCTGACGGCAAAAGTATCCGGTTGAATGGTCACGCAGGCTGAAGATTGTGTCGTCACTCGCGAGTTGTCGTGACCCGAGGTCATTATTTACGAGGGGTTGATTGCGCATGGTTTCATGCTCTCCAGGCCTACTTTGCTTGTATAGTGGCATGTTCACATTGAATTGTCTCATCAGCAGGGTGCTAGGGTCGCTACTGTGCATATGCCGAATGACTATGAGAGGAGAGAGAAGAGATGGTGGGTAGGCACTAGGTAAAAAGAAAAGAAAAAAAAGGTAAAATATTACCAATGATAAAACAAGGAGAAACGTCTTTGAATGTTCTTTGACGTTAATATGCAGCAGCTACTCTGTGTGAAAGGAACCAATGAAATCCATACTTCAGAAGCACTTTTAATATCGTAAAATCATTTTCATGCAGCATACAAACTCCTGTGAATTCTGAACTTGATGGAACACGGGGAAGTGATATCCTGAGCCGGCGGCGGCCAACACATGACCCACAGCTGAGGGTGTTGGTCAATGTTAACATGGCCTCATCAGACACAATCGCCGCCACTCGGGTTTCCTCAGCTGGAGCATGAAGACACGGGTTCAGTACAGCCACTATAGGGTTCGCTTTGCTGAGCTGCTGACAGGAGCATTCTTGAACATGATTGCTGGGTGTCCTTGAGCCATCATGGACCGACTAAAACAGTCACGGGGGAAACTGCTCACCCGCTTCATTGACAGGTGCTCCTCCAGTCAGCGTCTCTCAGTTGCCATCATCTTAAAGGGCATGTTTCCTGTTCATGTGTGCCTGTGCTGGCGTTTAGGTTGTGCGTGGAGAGGCCTGGATGTGACGTAGCTGACTGCACCTGCACCATCTAGTAAGTCTAATTGAGGTAAGTCCACCGTAACTTACAGTTGTGTTGTAGTCCAGTTTAGTATTTTTAGAGCAGTGCAAATCTAGTAGAAGTCTCTTTGGAAGGGTGTGCTGTATGTTCGTTGGACCCGTGGGCGCACCTTTAGGTTTGTATGCCTCCCAGCTGACCCAGCGCATACCCCTCCTGGGTGGCACACGCTACAAGATGACCTGATGCCGGTCAGTATCATTTCGTAGGTTGCGAACGTGAAGACACGGTCTCTTGCCACTGGGGTCTCCACGTTAGGGGATTCCCCTGCGCCGACCGATGCATGAGACTATGTTCATGTTTGGGTTGGAATGTATACTCTTTGGAGGCCATTTCCTCCATGATCTGCCGCAAAGGAGAGCAGCTCGGCCGCAGACACTGGGCTTGTTTTGTGTCTGCACACGGGATGGTTGTAGTTGGCTGTCGCCACCCAATTTTAAGGTTCTTCTTTGGGCAGCCGCCTAAAAGAACACATCAGCATTATGTATGTTTCTGAGGAGCTCGTCTTAACGGGGGTTAGCGAAAACAAGGTTTAGGGGCTTAGACTCCGTCCGTGTAGGCTGTCACGTTTCAGGATATGTATTGGGGGAGGAAAAGGTGTTGGTAGCATGGCGTCTTTATTGTTTGCATGATGGTCACGATGTGGATGTGCGTGCAGGGTAGATCGTGCACAGGACACAGCTAGTCAGGGGGAATACTAGCGAGACACAAGCTGGGATACTGTTGGTAATCATGTACATAGTGTATGTGCTGCTGACCCGAATTCCTGCTAGCTGTCAGCATGCTATACCAAACACCTGTGCCTGGTTATGCTAACTTACAGCGTCCGCTTCCAAGTACTTCAGAGTTGAATGATAGCCTATGGCCAGTATCGAGCAGGGTAATGGGCGGTCAGGGGGACTTGGAGTCACTTTGAAAGTGAGATCACGCACAGATGTGTCAGTGGGCTAGTGCTTTCAAGGTCAGAATTATCATGCTGTGAAGAACTACATGGATGGGTGATGTTCAGCACTTTGCCACGACACGGGAGGTTGATCACAATTTAATCAGCCCAAGACTCCCTGCTCGGTCCTGCGTCAGCATAGCATATTGAATTCGCAGCATACCAGAGGGAAGATCATGGGGTGGTATCCGGCCTGATCATCTGTAGATAATTTAATTGGAGTGTTGTCCTCTTTGGCCTCCAGGAGATCCTGTCCGGTTAATGGATTGTTAATTTCACTCCTTGGACTTGAAGCGATATCTTGCAATAGGAAATGCAAAAAACATAATTTAGGCTTGTGGTACCAAACTTGAGTTTTGAATTGCCCTTATCAGCTACCAAGAATCAACAATGGGGCCGCTTTGAAATCGTGGAGATCGGAAACAACTCTTAGGTGTTCTTGAAGGAACAGGAATGTCTATGGCTCTGGTACCTGTTTATGGGTTTCAAGACCTGTTTGGTCTGAGGCTGTTGCGGGTGAATGCTGGTGACTGCCAGCTGAACCATGGCACCTCATCAAACGGCACTAAGTGGATTTGAAGCAGTGCTTGAGAGGACTGGCACGAGTCTTGCTGGACTGCCTCTGGGGAATAACAGCGGAGACACGCAGCATGTGGAGGCACACTCTGCATCATAAATATCTGCTAACAATTATATTCAGGTTACTGGAGCTTTATATAAGCCTTACTCGGATATGCGGATGGGCACTCGAGGCCCTTCCCAGTGACATAATGCAGTAGTCTAAATAGTGTGCCATGCATCATGGTGCTGCACCTGCAATGGGATGCCTCTCCAGACACTGTGCTCTACTATTTCTTGTATCTCAGCTGCATCCCAGATCAAATTTTCTCGAGAGCAATCGAATGTTGTCCTTTGGTTCAGTAGTTTTGTGGCGTCCTTGACCTGCACCAAACGTGACTCCTTCTAAAATCCAGCTGCGTATGATAGTGTTTTGCCTGCTGGATGGGAATGGTATAATTGGCGCTACGTGACTTCAGCAAAGGGCGAGTCAGATCGAACCCCCGCCACCGGCCTCGCAAGTCTGGCCTCGCAAGTCTCGCTTCTGGTCTTGGGGGGGGGGGGGGGGGGTATGAATGTGACGATGCGCCGTTGCACGTCCTGTGTCATGGCTCTGGCCCTGGACATTCTCATGTGGCACAACGGTGTGGTGAATACTCGCCGCAATCTCCATGGTGATTAAACCAACAGACGGAACTGATTAACTTCAGCTTGTACTTACCGCCGTTTCTTCAAAGATACATGCAAGATTAAATTTGAAAAATTCCCAAACATAATAGTGTGTGGGAGTATAAACTCCAGCTCATACCAGTAAAGAGAAGAGGCGAAAACATTGATTTCACACGATAGCAGATGCACTTTGATGTGGAACTTTAGTGCTTGAATAGCTATGTTCAGCCTTGGCTGTCACAGTATGTGTGGACTGATTAATTTATGATATTGGCCCTTTCCTCTGGTTGCCCTCTGGCCACAATCTAAGCAAGCTCTGCCAGAATACTTGGCACATTCTTTGGCGTCACCCAAAACAAATCTCACAGCTAGGTATCAGGGGGGTGACTTGGTCTACTGCTCCTTGAGAGATACGTGACTTTCTGAAGAGCTTTCAAGTGTCCGGGTGCCGCAGATCCGGAATTATCATTCCGGAACCTGATGCTCTGGGCTCAATTTCTGCATGAAACGGAGCTGTGACGTAAGTCACTGCTGGCTAGCCGGCTGGAGGTAGATGGGCTGTTAATAAGTCCAGGCCTTTTCACACTGCAAAGTCGGTATCACATGCAGCTGTGGGGAGAGGCTTCCTTGTGTCAGCCGTATTGTTAATGTCTCTGCTCACACAATTTTGAGTCTGAGTATTTCCTTGTGTTCTGGCCTGTAGTGTTAGTATGCAGTCAGCCCCGGTTCGGACCCTGGCATGGAAATGACCAGTGATATCCGTGTTCGAGAGCGCTGGCTGGCATTGTGCATGTGAGGCACTGCCAGGCCAGATGCTCTGTCACAGACTGTGCCCCTGTGCCCATGGTGATTGGTGGTGGAGTACTGCATGCGCATATGCATCATGGCGGCATGCATGCTCCCATTCACACTACTGGTAACATGTTGTAGATTAGAATTCTCCTACACGTGCACAGCGGCCAGCTGAGATAATTCGATTAGACGGTAGTGAATCACGTACCATGATTGTGTTCTTGATCTGAATTGGAGCCCGATCCCCTGTACACCTAGTACACAATCATAATACAGTAAAACCTTGTTTAAGCGACCACCACCCCCCCCCCCCACGGTGCAAGGAAAGGCGGTCGTTAAAGCCAGGTGGTCTTTAGAACCAGGCCCCACGGTGCCTGTGTAGAGCTGTCCGTGCATGGGAAAACGGTCGTTCAGAGCAGGTGGTCGCTAAACCCAGAGGTCGCTTACACCAGGTTTTACTGTATACTCTGATTTCAGAAATTTTCGGTGCTCAATATTTTCAGTATGAGGGCGAAAGGCCAGGTTAGGTGAACAGAAATTTTAGGTACAGAGAAGCAGTTCCCTATTGGGTTACGTGTGTTAATGTTTGTTCGGTTTATTGACATTTTAGGTATGAAACAGATGCACCGAAAGTACCGAAAATTAAAGTACACAGAAAAAAATTGTGAAATTAGAGTAGCAGGTAGATGACACTTGTGTCATGCATGATGTTACACTATAGTAGTTGGTGCAAGTCAAGTTAGCATTCCGCTATGATGATTCTACCTTCGAATAGTTCAATGCTTTACTGAAATTGTTGATAAGACTTCATTGCATCCCATTCACCTAGTTCTTATGAGCAAATGGGATCGAGGCATTTGGCCTCTGGTTGGTGGATCTGATCTATCCTCCCCCACCGTCTAGGAGCCACATCTGACGCCTGATCATGGGGTGGTGGCGTCCCACGGAAGCGGAAGGGTGGTTCTTGACCAGGGAGTTGTACGACTCCTTGTTCTTGACCTGCCCGGTACGCGAACCCCGTCGAATTTATTTATTCATTTATTTTTATGAGCTTTACTGAGGAGAACTAAGTAATAATATTGTAACACGGTCCAGACACTAAGATATCCAGGGGTTGAGCAGCTAGTGTTGAGGAAGACGTCGATTTCTGTGTCCGTCTGAGTATAAACCGTTCCTTTGGTTGCAAAGCTCAAATATCTTCCGTTGCCTTCGGGTGGATGCTTTGGATTGGTCATCATCATCATCATCATCATCATCATCATCACAAGCCCATAGCCCTAAGGCCGTCGGGGCGTCACAGAGCAAGTATGAACAAGCGAGCACCATAAAAGTCGATCGCGTGCAGCAGCGAGCAGGGACTGCACGTCAAGTGCAGTCCATGAAATAATATCATCAAGCCATGACATTCTGGGCCTGCCTCGGCCACGACTTCCAGCAGCACAACCCTGAATAACAGTCGATGACAAACAGCCGGAACGAACAATATGACCAAAAATTTGCAATTTTGGATTGGTGCGTGGCGATAATGTGTTGGTCACTGGTTTTCCCATTCGCACCGACACACTGAAGAGAATGCGCCATCTTTTTCTCCCTCTCTCCCTTTTTGATGACCCTCAGTTTTGTTGCTTTTCTTGTTCGACCATCTTTGAAGTTTTACATTGTACTGTTGAGGCATTGAACTACTTCAGAAATAAAATACATCAAACACAAACCGTGCCTGCTGTAGTTTGTGCTCTTGTACAGTGTCATGGCCACTCCAGGGTAACACAGCGCCTAGTGTGGGCACGCACGCATGTACACAGTACTACACATGCTGCAGGTGAACCCAGACTGGCCTAGCTTCACTGCTGGGAACCATGGACATATCAGGGAGCAGGACATGCCCGGGCATATCATATGCACAGTTCATCCAGGTTCACAGATTTTGAACTGATACTACGGAGCAGAAAGAATTTAGGAAAGTGTCCATAGATGGAATCTAATGCCAGTACATGATCTATAATAGATGACTACATGATGGGGCTAACATAAACATCATTCCATTATCATGTTCTATTTTTGATTCAGTCAACAAGTCCATCATCATGCCTAGCCCATTACGGCTAATGATATTATTGACTTCAGCTCAGAGTGTACACGGTGGTTGTGTGTATTGTGCCTGTGTTATCAAGTCCCCGTTGCCGCTACTAACGTCCTGGTTTCTAGTGTGTGGAGTGTCGTTTCCCTAGGAAAAATTGTGACACTCGTACAGACCACTGTGTGTTGTTGGTGTTTGTGCCATACCGTCACCCGATATGCACATGTGTACATGTGAGTGCGCCTATGAATGCCACATAGCATGTACAATTAAATCTTGAATGATTAAGATCACTTTCAGCCTTTCCGGAATGAATGCCTTCTAGCGTATGATGTCGTCATGGGGTTCTTTTCAGGTGGAGGCTGGTCATACTTGCGCACACGTATTTTGAAACTAAAGATGATCAGTGGTGGCTGGTGTCACAGGTGGTCGCAAAGGTGTTTAAATCATAGACCGAAATTTGAGTTCCAGCAAGTGGAACATTTTAAGTTCTATAAGTGTAGACTCACCAAAGCACAACAGTATAGCAAGGCTGACTATTCATAACTCTGAGGCTCGCGCTGAGTGAAATCATCTGATGATGCAACTTGATAGTGTAGAGTCCACGCCACATGCATTATACATGTATCTTGGTTGGAATTATGGGATCACAACGATTCAATCACACACTTTTGGTGACTTATTATGGTGCTAAACTGAGTGAACAGTCTACCGTCTTTCTGACATTGCCACTCGAACTTGACAATAGAAGCTGCTTTTCGTATGTGCAGTTACATTGAGCCATGGTGTTTTTGTCTTATGTTTGTGAATCCTTCCCGGAAGCAAATGCTGGTTTTTATGCATTCGTGTAATTACTCAGCGTTATTTGCAATAATAATAATAATAATAAACTGAGTGCATTCCCTAGATACATGAACAGTGTACTTTGAAGTACTTAATTCCTGCCGAGGTCTATCCCTTGAGGATACTATGGTATCTTGGCCAGATTGGACATCTTTACAAAAATAATGTCTTTCTTTGACCAGCAACATGCATACCATTATGTCTTAAACCCCAACTTGCCAGCTTAATATCCAGTACGGCATTTGTGCCGGTTTTCTGTGACCAAGGCTTGCAGTGAAACCGACCAGTCAACGGCAACATATCTGTACGGTGATCGCTCGCGATGCGCCAAGTTTCATTTCATGGAGGAAATAAGATAAGGAGCTAGCTCATGCCTCATGTTCCTATGAGCTTATTTTCTGCGGCGTACACGTTTGCAGATACTATCTAAGCATTCTAAGGCCATTCGATATGTATTTATGGCTACTCGTGAACCTCTGCAAATGCCTGCCTGAGCGTGTTATTGGTTCTGTTTGCCACTCTTCTGCAGCTCTGCTGAATCTTGCCCCATCGCCACAACAGTCCTGAATATTCACGGTTCGCCAGGCTGTTCGGCACAAACTGAAGCATGCAGGTTCAGTGGCCAAGATCATCTCCACACCGTTGCATGGTTGGCAGAGGAAGCAACTTGGTCAAGTACGGCTGTACCTCGTCGTGCTGTGGTAAGACAGGGTACATAGTTTCGTGCACTTGTCACAAGTCACCACCTACTTGCTCTTGGTCAGATCTGCTTGCCTAACCGTGTGTCGTGTGATCGTGTTGCGTGTGATCGTGTGGCATGTGATCGTGTTGGTGTTTGCTACACTGAAGAAGTCCCCTGACTTACCCATTGGGAATTCTGGTTGACCTGGCAACTTTACTGATGGCTACCTTTACCACCGGCGTTCTATTTGGTTTAAGAAAGCTTTAGTTGATGGCTATGTGTAAACAAGATGGACTCACACCCTGTATTGGTTGGAATTTCAGGACCTAATGGGATTAAACCTGGAATTTTGATTCACATTATGGTCTGATTGCTCTTCTGCATACGACACTGTCGTGCAATTCGTTAATTTGTTTTGCTGCGTACTCAGCTGGGGGAGAGAGCTGTTGGCAGCCTCATTGCATATTGTCCCAGGGGCATACTGAATTTGGGAAACATTCCAAAGAATGCTGCAGATCACGTTGCTGGGCCGTAACCCAGCGACAGTTTGCTTTGGTGATGGTGGTGAGAATATTGAGTTTGTGCCGCGGGCTAAGCATACAGGGCAAACGTGGCTATAACATGCTATCAGGCGCCTGTTAGTTTCCTCGTATTCCATCTGGATTGCGCAGTTTGTGGCATGGACGTACTGCAAATCTGCGGCCTGTTATGGTATGGCTGTGCTGTTGCTTGTTATGGAACACACAGTGGGCTGGGCAGGGTTGTTATTGTCTACTTCGAAGTACACCAAGCTACATCTTGCTGCAGTCCTTGCTAACATGATTCTGCGTGTCGAAAACTGCAAACGGTGGCGAGCGAAACTGCGAATCGTGCATTCCTGTCATGATCTGTAATTCACCTGCTCTGCCTATTCAATGTGTGCACCGTGCCATTACCGGAAGTCAAGCGTTGGCTTCGGGGGTTAGGGCGCATTTGGGGACACATACGAGAGATGATGAGATGTGCAGGCTGAGCTCGTTGAGCTGCAGTTTGTAAGTGATATACGGTTACAGCGGAGGATGTGTCCAGTCCATGCTGGGGTCCTGCGTTTGGCCAGGAAGCTTGTAAACGATACCAGCAGGATGGAGGAGCGCAGAGCACATGTACCGCCATGGCATGTGAAGGAGTCAACTGAGTTTGTGTGACGCTGGTATTGTTAGTGCTGCTGGCTCTGGTCACGGCTGGTAGTGGTGTCAACTGTAATAACTACAACGATGCTGCTCGCCTCCACGCCACTCACAGAGAAACCTTGGCTGACATTGGTGAGTGTGTTTGGGAATGGGACACGCCCAAGCGACAGCTCTGTCACCCTGACATGTTAAGCAGGAAGTTAGGAGGGCCTTTTCGGCGCTTTTCTGCATAGTGCTGCGGCGCAATGACTTCCAGGCGTAATTCACCAAGGTACAGTGGCCAGACAAGGTTTGAATCATGTCACTTGGTGAGTGAATCGGACGGCTGCCCTGATGATAAACAGAAGCAACAACAAGCCCAAGATTAACTGAGGTCTTCAGTGCTGCACCAGCGGTTGTACTCTCTGCTCGCGAGTAATGACAGCATACTGCGTGCCAACGACACGCAACTCCAATACTTCTGCTTGTAGCAGTTCTTGACACTTCTTATTTGAATCCTGGGCTCGTTGAGCAACCACCTGGCCAACTAGCCATTAATCAACTGCCATTTCAACAGCCCATGACTGGGTGGCCTCACATAAGGATCAACATGGCCCATTAAGTACTCGGTATCAGCAACATCAGCGGCAGCAGCAGCAGTTTAATGACGAGACTTACCCACCCCCGCCGTGCACATGCTGCATTGATTATAGGAGCTGGCCCGCCTGAACATCCTCGGCCTAAGAATGTCACAGGCAATCTGGTACGCGATGTATACCAGACGAATTTATTGTAGTGACAAGCCAGGGATGAGTAAATACTAAGAATACTAAGATGTAAGATGAGATTAATCAACACGGCTCATCAGGAGCTAGATTTGGGCTGTTGGGCATTTTGGGGCGGCACAGCCAAGCTGTGCTCATCTGAGTGCTTTAATAGTAGCCTTATGCCATGGGGGGGGGGGGGGGGGTAGATACATACAATGTCATTGTACATGTAGATGTACCAGGCTACTGCAGCTCTGGGTGCAGATAGGGCAGGCCGGGATGCTGTGCTGGCTTCAAAGTGGCCTGATGATGGTGCTAGTGCCACTGCATGCAGTCTTGTTCAGTGACTGGCTTGCCCCGGGGGCCAAGTGCAGCCAGCGCTTGAGGAAAAGAGGCATGCGGGGAGACACATTATGGTCTGTATAGTATCATCATCCTCGAGCCTCACCATAAAGTCTCCCGTCCTACATACCAGTCACAGTCTAGGTGTAGTGGTGTGGTGGCCTGGTGTGGTGGCCTTGTGTGGTGGCCTGGTGTGGTGCCCTTGCCAGTACTGACAGTGTAGTGTGCAGTGTGTAGTGTGTGTAGTGTGGCATGCAAGCCTCAAGGTGATGGTGCTGCACAGTCCCACACAGGCCACACTACACTACACTACACTACACTACAGTACAGTACAGTACAGGACACTACAATCATGTACAGTGACTGACTTCTTCAGGTTCTTGTACACTGTATCAGTGTACATGCATTCTGGCTCTCTGGCTCTCACTCTCAGTGTACATGCATGCTGGCTCTCTGGCTCTCACTCTCTCTCTCCCCTGGTATATTTATAGATGTGGCCTGGTGTGAAAGTGACATTGTGCAATTAGTGATTATTTTTACCCATGAAAGAAGGGACAGTGACTACCCAACCCTTCAGCGTAGGTATCTTGGAATCTTCACTTTCAGCCTGGGTGGATAGGCCGGCTCTGGAAATATATCCTGTTTTATACCAGCTGATTATATCAGGGTTGATGATGCCCGTGTTGTGCTTATCTTTACGGTTTCTATTTTTGCTGATGGCGATGGCGTAAGCTTGATCAGGACATGGAGCTGAATGGGGAAGCGGCTCGTGTGATCCAACCATTCGGCACTCTGGGTATGGCTGAAGGCTGGACTGTAACATAGCCATATACATGTACTTAATGTATACAGGGGGGGAGTGGTCCCGTCCACCATTGTGTACTTAATGTATATGTATATGTACATGTACCTGTGCCGTGATGTAGAGCCATCATTCCGTGGCTGCACAGTCACATTCATTGGCGGTGTTCTCAGGTTAAGGTTATCAGCATAGGATACGCATAAATCTTCACTCTCCAAACGGTCTCTGGGCTACACCAATCACTAAAAGAAAAAGAGATACAAAAATTCGAATAATTTAGTATCTCTTTTTCTTTTAGTGATTGGTGTAGCCCAGAGACCGTTTGGAGAGTGTTGTGAAGATGTATGGATATAGTGGATGGCTTCGCGTTTTTGAGAAAAGCATAGTATACGGGTGCATATTGTCATGTTTGAGCTAAGCATATCAGTGCATTGTATCCCCTCCCCCCCCTGATCACTATCATTGGCGTATTTCAATTCCATATACATGTGCTGTACTATCTGTATAAATGCATTGAATCTCATACATGTGCATATACGTCTATTGATAGGTCATTGACAGTCAGTTTCAAATACTCTGTATGCACCACTTTGCGAATCGTTTGCGGCGACAACTTCAAGTAAATGGCAGGTTAAGGATAGATCCGCAAGTGCTGTTGCGTACAACAATTTGCATCAAGAACGGGTTTGTCCTGGTCCTGGTGTGTATAAAAGACATGTGAACGGCATCATGTGGCAGGCCAGATCGATTTTAGCCACTAGGTGCAGCTGGTGAAGGGTGAGGTTGTTCTTTGGTCTGGGATCGCAGTGTCTATGGCCGCTTATCAAACCTTTGGGCGCGTATTGACGGTACTTTGCGATCTGGCAATCACTTCTTGAGGAGCACCCTTCAGTGGAGCAACTGTCTTCAGGGGCCCTGCCGGCGGTAGCTCAGTACTTGTAGACTGCTTCTGATGGGCTTAAGAAAGTTAAGTGTGTCATGTCCCCCGCGCTAGAGGATCCCTGCATTACTTTCTCACTCTTGGGGAAATGGCTAATGAGGAGCTGTGACTGTATTCGTGACTTCTGATCGGGATTTGACACAGCTAAAAGTAGCCGGGGTATTTTCTGCTTGAGAGCCATAGAGAGCGGCACACATCTCCTAAGAGCCATCACGCCAATGTCACAAGTCGCATGTCATTGGTTAGTAGTGATTTGAGAACCTTGTGCACGGGGAGCCAATCAGACATTTTCAGAAAAAAACGTGACAGCAGCTTGGTGTCTGACCAGGGGTGTGGCTAGTCGGTTGAGGTTGCGTCGGCACCACACGGTGTTCGCTCCACACTGTGTTCCGGCGCTGCGTATACTGCTCTCAAACTCCCCCCCCCCCCTCTCCCTCTTGCTTTGCCCTCCGTGTCTCTCTCACACTTCTCTCCGGAACTTCAAGTACTCGTATAGCGGCTAGCTTGCTATGTGGCTCGCAGGCCGTATAAGGCATAAAGAGCAGCTGCTTCTCTTTGTTCTCAGGCCAGGGGCTACACTTGTGCAAGTCACTTCTCCTGAAGGAAATCTCATGTCCCATAACCACCCAGGTGGAGGGGGTTCATCGACAAGAGCTAGCTGCAGGCTGTCCATGACATGCTTGCAATCTGCAACCCAGTTACACTGTGTCGTTTACTAGTACCTATTTATGTATTTATTTACCGTCCAATGGCAGTAGCCAATATGGGTGGATCGGGGCATTAGCCAGCCTTCGCAACCGAGGAGAAGAGAAAGAAGCCTGAAAATGAAAATGCGACGTTGGAGAAGAGAAAGAAGAAGAAAATGCAAACGGGGCATAGTCATTGGGGCGAGAACAGCATCAACTGTACTGTAGCTCTACTGTATGGCGCATAGGAGCCAGTATACTAGATTTTGTCTTTGAAAGCTTTGATGCTCCATTTTGGTGTGACTTCCATCATACCAAAATGGACAAATGGACAAAGTTTGACAAATTGTGTTCAATGTCGTATTCTAAATAAAACAAAAGTGTTGCTCTGGGCTCACTGCTAGTGATAATGATGTTGTTGTTGGTTATTGCCTATGTCTGATAAAACTCTTTTCGAGTGCGTCGACAATTACTCAAAGTGTGTTTGCAAGTCGTACAAGTGACTCTCTCTCCAGGGGCCCTTCGCCTGGCTAAAAGGCTGAAGTGTCTGCCTGCCAGCATTTTTCATATGTCACGTTCAGCTTCCGAAGTTCCTTGCGTTTCGTTTCACAGCCGTACGCAGCACACACATACACACACAAAGATGCAACCACATATTGCACATTTTGCATTTCACTGCCAAGTAGGTCACGTTTGCCAGCTGAGTGGCATTACGATGTTGAGTGTGACCTACATATTACACACAGAGAGGATACATTCACCGAATCATGGCCATCAGGAAGCTGTAATGAATACCAATCCAATGATAACGCTAAGTTGTAAATAATTCAGTATAAATCTGATAGCCCAGCGATACTTGTACATTGACCGTTAATCTGATAACTGACTTCCATTGAGAAAGTAGAGGTTTTTCTAGGCGAAGGTATAGTTGAAATCCATAATATCCGATCCACATTGAAACATTGTCCCTGCAATGCAGTGATGCTATATATGTACATGTCTACGTGTAACCGACTCTGTGCCGACTGTCGTGTCGAGCAGCGAAAGCGCAATCACTGCGTGAGTATTTTGCTCTCTTGTTCCGTTGTGTTTCCTGTGCATTTAGCTTCCTGTCATCCTGTACCAATACTGACCCAACGGCCGTGTAAACTGAGCTGGAGCGCCGCAAAAATTCTCTCATTTTCCGCTCCTGCCCCTGCTTTTCCTGCTACCCTAATCACCTCCTCAGTTCACTGCTCTGAGATATTTGTCATCAGGCTGTTTAAACGACATGTTTTTCTACAGATTTTCTTATCGCTGGACACGTCCTGTTCAGCGTTCTACTTCCTAAACATTCTGGTTGTTTAGAATGTGTGACTCTGCCCGTGTTTCGGTTTGCTTGGCGAATGTGTGTATGTGTGTGTGTGTGTGGTGGGTGGTGTGTGTGTGTGTGTGTGTGTGTGTGTGTGTGTGTGTGTGTGTGTGTGTGTGTGTGTGTGTACCCAAGTGGCTGGGGTGGTGCGTATGTGACTCCTACCTGCATGGCCTTTGCTCTGAGGTATTTACTACAACTCTAGTAGCAAGCATGTATATCTACTAGTACTGTACCTGGATGTTTGGATTTTGCTGGAAATGCTATAAGTACAGTGCTGGCAACTGAAATCCGACCCCTGAGCGGTGCGCTCACATCGCAAAGACCCAACACGGGATAGTAAAACTACGAAATAGAGACCGCTAGAGTGTGAACGCATCGCTCAGGGGTCGGATTTCAGTTTCCAGCACTGTAGTATGGGTGGAAATAACAGTCACATCTACATCTAGATTGTAGTTGCTGGGCTGTACACTCTGTGCACGCAAGCACTGAGCTCCCGGTTCGGTCAGAAGTCGGAACAGCCGCATCTACGATCACTTTATACTAACTTAGCCTAACGGAAAGCGACAGTCAAATCAGTGTCTCGTCATTGAGCATTATCATTCTCATCCCTGCTGAAACCGTCTTGTACGTATTCAAACTGATTTTGGACTACAAACTCTTCCTTGACTGCAGTCTGGCTTGCGGGTAGTGATGCCTTCGGGCCTGTTCCTTGTCTCTTGTTTTGTTTTTTTTTGCTGCCAAGCCTGAAATGCTAATCTTGCCCCGAAGTGCAGACGAATACAGGAAAGGATTCTAGCGGATACCTCATTCGTCAGCTGTTCAAGAAAGCAATGCCACCACTACAATGGTGCCCTGACACATGCTGTGTATAAACGACGCAAGAAGATAGAAGGCTTCTGAGACAATGTGGCTGATATCGAATCCATACATTCTGTCCCGTACCTAGTTATAATTATAAAGTCGAGTACAGTAGTTCTCCTCTCAGATAATTGTCACCACTTTTTCTCGTAATGGTAGAAGATGGCAGAACGGCCACCGAACTAAGTAAGCTACTTTGCCGCAGAGCACAATCAGGTGTTGACGAGTAACTGCATGCTGTGTTACACACGGTTCGCGGTGTGACACGTTGATTGTGAATGTGTGACGTGTGCGCGTGTACGCACCTCCGAGCTCTGTACCGTGTACGAGGCTTGTATTGCCTTAGCACGAGGACCAGGTCAGGTCAGGCGAGAATGACGTGACGGGTCTTGTGCACGGGTCGTCACACTTCACGTACATGTTCGTGGTGTCACTTCACTGAAGTGAGTTCGTGCGCGCGGCGGCGTTCAGTACGTTTTCAGCCCAGCGTCAGCCGGAAGAGAACGCACGCAGGCACGTGAAAAACGTACAATTCCATCGCCTGAAGGTGAAAGTACAGCCATAGACATAGTCATTGCTGAAATAATAATTGGACAAGGGTTGTGCGTCGATGACAGGGTGTCGCAGACTCGTGCGTGTCATCCGAGTCAGAGGACCTCTTCGAGTCTTCCGCGTCTTCTCAATCAAACGTTACCAATAGGCAATATATACGAGGTGCTGGAGCAGATTCTACAAGAATCACATGTACACATGCATGTTCAACTAGAAGTCTACCAAGGACGCCTCCATTCCATGATAACTACCACTATAACTGCTACCAAGGCTATTGCCACCCTGGCCTGAGTCTTGTCACGACGGAATGAGTGTGAAGACAGCCAGTGTGTGTGTGTATGCATGGCCTAGCCCTGGGGCGCTTCCAGACAACTATCGCATGGTAACGTCTCCCGAGACGCGGACGAACTCAACTGGCAGGTCAACCGGAACCTTTTTCGCTCTTCCACGGTCTTTGTCTACGGTCTAGCGCTTGACACTCCTTTCAGTTTCACGCGTCTAGTACAGGTGTCTGTCATTTTGCACGCGACCACGTTCACAGAGTAGCTACAGTGTGAAGTCCAGACATGCGCCTTAGACTATGCAAAACATGGCCGCAAGGCAAGTCAAGGCGGAAAGAAAAGAAGGGAGGACAATCATGCCCGTCTGCACAGTACCGAGGCAACGCCGTGGGCCGCTCGGCCCTGGCGCTACAAACTACACTGGAACTGCACTTGAACGCGGCGCTGCTCTCCCCTGGATGTAGGCCAACATAGCGTTGAAAGTCACCCCAGTAGGTCCAGTACACCACCAGTCACCAGCCTAGCCTAGGCCAGGGCACGCAGATTTAGGGACACAGAACACTAGGGACACAACGGTTCAGGGACGCACCGTGTCCATGTACCAATCCAGGGACACAAAGCTAAACGCTGCATCACAATCCGATTCTTATAAAAATGTTTAGGACTGGACGTTTGAACCCTCGACGGACGTAGATGTCTACACGGACGTAGATGTCTACAGCTCAAGACACTGTTGTTAGTCCTACATATTTGCATGGATATTCGATTTTTAAGTTTGCATGAGTAATCCTCGTAGAGCTGCGGCCAGGTAAAATACTTGTTCAGCTAGTAATAGTACTACTGTCGTGGACATGGAAATTCGGTCGCACGTCTAGCGGCCCCAGGGTGCTGGTCATGCAGCCGTGGAAAAGTGGTACACACATGCATTTATGCGCTGCGGCGCGATGGTCGCATCGGATCAACATGTGCACTGCATGCAGCGTTCTGTACGCGCTGAGGGCGCCGGCCCCGGTCAATCGACTGGATTTCCATGTCCGCTGCAGTAGAAAGTGTATACAGACACCCTGTGCTATCTCCTACCGGTATACCATGATCTCATTCAGGTATTATGTAATGCAGGAATAGACGCTAAGCCCTTCATACAGTCACCTAAATTTTATTTTCCGCCAAAAACCGGATAGCATTGAAACACTGGTTTCATAGGCATACCAGAGTGTGATAACAACGCGTTCTCCTTTTCGTCCGTCTTCTTCGTCCACAGAAATGTATGACGAGTTGTTTTTGTAGCGACCTGAAGGCTGGCGATCACGTCACACTCTTTCATCCGACATCATAAGCATGCGCAAGAAAATAATATCTTTCTCTTTGGCCTCAACTTCTTTGTTGTCCTGTTGGCCGTTGCAGCCATCGTCGTAGGGCCGCCGTAAACCGTGAAGGTTGCAGACATGCCCTGCTTTGCCCATGTAACAATCTGTACTGTTGGTTTCGAAGATCTCTTTTCACGCTGTGAAAGACAGTGCCACTCCCACCACCACTGTGTGCGCTATTCACGTGATCCAGATCTAGCCTCGAGGTGATCACGTTCACCAAACTACACTGCTAATATAGAAGCTAAACGACTAAATTTCTGATCTCAGAATCGAGCTCTCAGTCTCCTGTAGGTCACATCCATAGTTACTATTATTACAACTTCTCTGTCATCCCTCTTTAGAAGGGGAATTATGGTCTAGAATAAAAGTTTCACTACTCGTAGTCTTCAGGGTGCTGAGTCGAATGGTTTTGGTCCGAGAAGCTGAGACGCTCCCTTCCTCCTGTATTCCCAATCGACCTCGCCACTTCCGCCGAAACTGGGTGACTGCGCCCTACCAGACGGGGAATTATATGCAAAATATCACTATAAGCACAATTTCGTTCTTATAAAAAGCACAAATGAACGAGATTGACTCATATTGTGTAGTCTTTTGGACGCTGAGTCGACTGGGTTTGGTCCGAGAAGGCTGCGATGCCGCGTTCAGCTTCCTCGGACCAAGACCATACGACTCAGCACCCTGAAGACTACGAGTAGTGAAATTTTGATTCTAGACCACACTTCCCCTTTCACGTCTTCTCTAGACTTTTCTCTCAGGCGAAGACAACGAGTTAGGGTTTGAGACCTCCGCAATAACAGAAGAAGAAAGTCGTTGGCTCATGACGTTGCAGCTCGAGCTTTCCTCGCCGACTCGACTTGAACTCACTGGCTCACGACTTCCATCATGCACACGGGCAGTCCATCGGACTTGACAAACCTGCATGATAGCACCACTCCCTGTTCAATATACATGACTGTACAGTGTTTTGGGGGAAATTCATCCCCCCCCCCGCCCCCCCCCCCCCGTCAGTTGAGATTGGTTAGGCAGATGATGACATCATATTGTGTGTACCTGAAAAGCACCACATTTTATCGTGACCTTCAGACTCCAGGCCCAAAAAACACCATGCAGGGATTCAAACTTACAGAGACGCTCCGTTTCCTGCGCGATACACACGACATGAACACTAGGCAACTGCGTGAGTTGGTTGGTTGGTTGGTTTTTATTTCACTTCGCACATTCAAACGGGATGACGACCCAATAAAATGACGGCGAAGGCTTAGCCTAGAAGTGGCTATGGAAGAACATAGTAAAAGCTATGGAAGCACATAGTAAGAGAATAGGGTACTAATAACTGCGGGTAAACGGGGGGAGAGAGAGAATACGATGTATCTGTGATACTACGTGAGGATTACTGAACTGCACGGGGAGGGAGAGCAGAGCGATCAGAGCGATCGATGAGTCAGTCAGTATCGTCGATGAATACGTAGTACAAGCGTAAACTGTCAAAAAAGAACCGCTCATATCGCTCACATTCTTACAAATCGCAGCAAGTTGAACACACATCAAGCTTAACTTCGCTATGTCGGCTATGAGCATCTACAGTAAAGTGATTGAAGGTCCGGGTCTTGATTAACTGTGTGTGGCGTTTAACTTGTCTGATCTTCTACACGACCATCAGTTTGATTTTCGTTACTGGAGATCAAAATTTGAAGTCATGGCCTTAGCTTTGAACGACTGGACGTTAGCTAGAGAAGTAGCCAATATCAATTTTCAGCGTTGGTATAATAACTATTGTCATTCATTTCGATTATTGACCTCATCTTTGACCAGGCTCTTCGCCTTGCTTTGCACGATTTAGAGATCCACTCTGCTGGGCTGTTAACTGATTGGTTCGCTTTTCGTCCTGAATGGGCGGTACCAGGGTGTATGTGTACAGTCCGACACAGTGCATGTTATCATGACACACCCAC